GAAAAAATTATAGTATGGTATTTGTCACTAGTCAAGTCTGACCAAAATACCTTGGATTCTTTACTCCAAAAAGCCTCAAAATATAGATGAATAATGATGACTTCTGTACTCACCTTATGGAGAACAGTAGGATTAGGAAGTGAGATAGGGGCTAGGCTTGTATTTCCTAATGTCAGGCTTTGTGTTCTGGCCACACTAGACTTCTCTGAGGCACTTGTTTAAAACATAGGTTCTTAGCTTTCACTCCCTTCTCCTCAAATCAAAACATCTGATCTTTCTAGATCATTCCAATGGATAATTGGTCCATCTCAGCTAAGGGCTTTGCATTAGTCTGTTTTGTATTGCTATAATGAAATACCTGAGGCTGAGTAACTTTACAAGGAAAGAGGTTTATTTAGTCTGACATGGCTAGGCTTCCATGAGAACCTCACGTGGACGATGGGCAAGGGAATGAGAGATTGCAGGACCAGACAGAAAGCCGGAGAATGATTCCGAGAAACACTCAGGCTTTGTAGGAATTCGCCATCGTGAAAACAAACTCAATATTCCTACAAGGAAAAAGTCTCTCATAAGGTCAATTCATTCAGGAACCTAATGAGCTTCCATTAGGCTCTACATCTTTTTAAATTTTAATTTCATTTTGTCCGTACTCCAGGCCTTGCACTTGTTTAGACAAGTGCTCTGCCACTTGTGCAACACTTCCAGCCTCCTTCCTTAATTTTTTTAACCTTTTTTCTAGATATAATCTTGTTCTTTTTGACTGGGCTGGCCTCTAACTGTGAATCTTCTAGCCCTGTCTCCTAAGTAGCTGGAATGCCAAGTGTGTATGGGTGTGTTCTGGCTAAGGGTTGACCTCAATTTTGCCAGATAGGGCCAAAGCTCTGGCAGGAGACCCAGGGCCCAGTGGGTGGTCATTGTTCCCTGCTTCTTCATCTGCCCTGAGGATATGCTCATTGCCTCCTTCCAGAAGCCATTTGAGATGTTAGTGATGAGGCCTCCTGAGAGTTCAGATAAAAGCTCTCTGGGAGTTTGAACTTGGAGCTAGCAAAACATTTGTCAATAACAGATTGTTTCAAAATTGGTAAGACCAAAGTGCTTTTGGTTAGTGGGGTGGTTTTTTCCCCCATGGGTAGTAACAAAACCTCATAAACAAAGTAAGATTAAAAGCAGAGATAATATGATATGTATTATACATTTCTTTAATCTTTATGTAATCTAGCAATTCCAAAATTTGTTTGACATTAAGATGATTTTATACAAGTAAGCCTTATTAAAATTCCACGGAAACTGCTCTTCCCTGGAATCTATTTGGGAAAGTTGTTTTGCTTTTGTATGTGTCTGTGTTCATGCGTACAGTAGTTTGACATATGTGTGTGTCTGTGCTCAGGAATACAGTAGTCTCAAGTATGTATGTGGATTTTGCTTTCTGTGTTTTCAGCTGTCTATGGTGACTCATTTTCTGAAAAGACTGATGGAACAGTCAAGAAGTAACAATTCTTAAATTTCAAACTCCACACCGTTCTGAATTGTGTGACAAAATCAAGTCTCTTATCTGGTCCCTTCCCATTTGGGATGTCAACCATCCCTTTTTAGTACAACCAAGTCACAAATGCTACCTGTCCTGCCGTAATTGAAGGAGAAGAAAAGATAAAGAAAGAAATGGGGGGGGGAAGGGAGGCAAGGTAAGAGGAGGGAGTAAAAGGAGGGAATGAGGGAGGGGAAAAAAGAAGGGAAGGAGAGAGAGAAGCACTAGAAACTAATTCTGGAGACATCTGTTAATGTTGCTTTGCAGGAGACAAGTGGTATTTGTCAAAATCTGCGATATTAATCATTTAAATTCTAAGTATGCAATGAAGGGTAGACAGGACATTTCATGGTGAAGTCAGAGTTTGAGAGTCTTTGTGATAGAACCTATTACCACTGACCTGATAAAATGCTCTCAGTCACATCTAGTCTGTCATGGGTAAGCAATCTGACAAGCAATCATGGTAATGAAACAAATTAAATGAAAATTAGCTGATTTGCTTTGACAAACACTTGTTAAATATTTATTTTCATAATGAAGGTGATTCTAAAAGTGGAGGCAGAATTTTAGAGCTTGCAAAATTATTTTAAGATAGAAGCCTCAAAACCCAGGTTCTTAGTTTGTATAAGACCAGTTGTAACAGACAGCCTTTGAGTACCCTTTAAAAAGGGGAAAACATAATCACAAGAAAATTCATCTGAGCTGGGCACCAGTGGCTCACATCTATAATCCTTGCTATTCAAGAGGCTGAGATCTGAGGGTTGCAGTTTAAAGTCCACCAAGGCAAGAAAATCCACTCAATTAAACACCAAAATGCTGGAAGTGGAGCTGTGGCTCAAGTGGTAAAACACTAGCCTTGAGCACAAAAGCTCAAGAACAGCATCCAGGCCCTAAATTCAAACCCCGGGACCAACACACACACACACACACACACACACACACACACACACACACACACACATTCCTCTGATGAGAAATATGGAAATAATGGGATTAGAACCAGAGAATGACTGCAGAAACCATGTTACTACCCATTGTGTTAGCTTTCCTTCACTGTAACAAAATACTTGAGATAGAAAAGTTAAAAAGAGGAAAGGTTTGTTTTAGTTTATAGTTTTAAAGATGTGAGTGCATTGTTGGTTTCCCTGTTTGTTTTGGGGCTGGTGGTGAGGCACTATATTATGGTGGGGAGCAAACTGCTCATTAATGGCAGCCAGGAAATAAAAAAGACAAAAAAAAATCTTTGGGATCAGAGTCCCACAGTCTGCCTTTGTGGGCATCCCCCCAATGTCCTAACTTCCACTAGGCCTTACTTTTTAAAGGCTCATCACTTCTGGATAGCACCATGGGATAGGAACAGAGCCTTTAGCACATGGGCCTTAGGCGAACACTTAACCAATCCATACCATTCATGTTTCAGAACTCATAGCCTAGATCATATAGTTGCTGTGAAAATGAGACAAAATAAATGGTAATTACAGATGTCTGGCTATCATTAAGAGTTAGCAGAAATAAAGCAATCTTTTAACATGTCAAGCCTGTAGACCAAGGAAATAATAGCTCTTTTGACAGAAATAGAAAAGTTCCATTGAAGGGCTGGCAACTTTAATATCACTATTGTATCTGGGCCTTAGGGTGTTGTTTTTTTTTAAGGTTTATTTATTGTAGTTTTTTTAGCTGCATTTTATCATCCATCATTCATTTAAGCAACTTGATATAGAACTTTGAATCTAAGGACTTTCTGTCAGTAGGTACCAGGAAAAACCCCAGCATCTGAAAGAAATGACTGAAGATTTGGTTTTCACATACATGGGTGCCTTTTATTTATTCTTCAGATTCTAAAAGATTTATATAATGACATTTAAATCTTGTAGACAAGAGATTTACCTCAAGCATGTGGCAAACTCAGCATGTGCCATAGTAAATAAATTAAATCTTTATTAAGAATGTGTGCAAGAGCAAGCTTGGGGGGGGGTGTTGGGAGAACACGAGAGAAGAGGTGACACTGTTCAAGAAGAAATACACTCATTGCCTGACTTTTTTTAACAATAAAAATAAATAAATTTAAAGAAGAATGTATGAAATAGTGAACTTTTAACCCCTGTGATAAATTCTCCAGATAATGTTAATTGGTTTCAATATGTCTGCCTTTTAAAATGTTTGTATCTTGGAGTTAGCGTGTATCCTAAGGTTAGCCACTTAATTTTCATATTATTTTACTTCTGAGTTGGTATTTTCTTAATTGAACTAGTTTAGACATGTTCTCAGTCTGAATTAGACTATGCCAATCTCATCCTTAGATATTCATCAGATATTCCCTCTCAAAATCATTTGCTTTGTGGAATCCTAAGTGAGCATAGCGTCTTTAATATAAAAGAATCTCCCAGACTGATCACTGAATTGAATGGGCCACATCCTTAACAGTGTATTGTATATAAAAATTTGTATAGAACTATGTATATGAATGTTCCCTGTAACAACATCTGAAAAGGGTATCAGCTGTTATATCAAATTTTAAAACAGAGAGGTAGGGGAAACAGAGAAATAGGAGAAAGATTGAAGAACCAAGATTGAATTTTAGAAGACATGGTTGTTGATTAGACAGCTGTTTTCTACCTGTGTCCTCACATGGCTGAAGGGCACCAATCTGATTCACCAGGGCTCCACCTTTATGACCTAATCACTTCCTGAAGACCTACTCGCTTAATGGTTAGGGTTTCAACAACAGAATTTGGTAATAGGGCTGCTGTTGGGTTTAGGGGCACAAGTATTCAAACCATGGCAGTAGTATCAGAGAAACTGATGAGTTTTCCAAGCCAGGATGAAGTTTGATGGTGATCAACCAGGACAAAAGATTAGATGAGAATGCTCAGACATGAAGCATTGTCCCTGATGTGCAGAGAACCATCTGAGGGGGATAGATACTCTGTCAAGATGGCAGTGAAGGGAGGAACAGAGAATGGGGAACAAAGATGGGTGGCAATTCAGAGAATTTTTTTTTATCACTTTCAGCCAAGTACTCATAACTGACTTCCTCAACATGCCTCATTTACTTCAATTAATGACGAGCAAACTGTTAGTGTCTGTAAATCATACTCAAAACAATGACTTCATATTGTGTCCATTAATTACCCCACAGGAGCTCATTATCCAGTGAGTACACATTAACGATCAGCTCAAGTCATTACAGTTGTGATGTTAGTAAAACAACTTAGATTAATATCCTCTCATTATGGATTTGTCTATTCATAGAGACAGAGACAGAGGTTGGCCTCTATTGAAATAGAATTTTGGTCTTTATATCGGCTCAGAGAAAAAAAAAATAAAAAGGAAACAAGTTGCAGAGGTCATTGCACACCATGCTAACCAATGAAAGTTTCTGTGGGAATATTAAAAAATGTATCCATGCTAGTTTTCTGTTGCATCTGAAGTTTTTGACCATTTTCTCAATTGGAAATATACTTCCTTGTTTTACCTGGTACCAGTTTTTCTGTGGTTTCCTTCTCTGTTGGTCCTCGCTAAGTCCCCTGGGTTCCTTTTTCTCTGCCAGTCCTTCAAAGGGTGCCAAAGCCATCATAGCTTCCTCCTCTTCACCACCACAGCTTTCTTCCTACCCCACACCTCAGAACAATCACAAGGCTTTGCCAAGAATCTCAACCCAGGTGATAGCTACATGTTGAGTTCCTTTCTACTTAATGTCACATCCATATTTCTAGTTGCCCCCTGAAGAGCTCCCCTGGGAGGGTTTTGCAGACAACCTGAATTCACTAAGTCCAAAACCAAACTTGCTATCTCCCCACCTCCCTCTCACCATCATTCTCACCCCTCCTTTGGTCGATGACTTAATATTGAACTATGTAACTGAGCTAGAAACCTTGCAATTAATCCCAGGACTTCCCCCTTACCACCTCCCACATCCACTGTCTCTGTGGCCACTCTGCTCTTTGTCTTATCTATCAATCATTTATTGATCTGTTATATATCTACATTTATCATCTATGTCTATTATTCACCCACTTATCCCACTGATTTTTCTACTCTATTCATTCAATAAATGATTCTGTATTATGTACCAGACACCAGGATATTGGCAACAGACAAAAACAGATAAAGTTGGTGACCTTATAACTTTCACCTAGCTGAGAGAGATAGGCAATGGACCAAACGGCAGCAATATAGAATGTTAAGGAGAAAAGCAAAGCAGAATAAGGGGAAGGAGCTGACATTTTATGTAAATTGATCAGAAAAGACTTTTCTGAGGAGGTCACAAATGAAAAACCCTGAGAGCATCTAGATATAACTCCACTTCTGTAGTGTGTGTGTGTGTGTGTGTGTGTGTGTGTGTGTGTGTGTGTCTGTCTGTCTGTCTGTCTGTCTGTCTGTCTGTGTGTACACATGCTGATACCAGGGCTTGACCTCAGTACTTTACACTTCTCAGCTTTTTTGCACACATCTGGCACTTTATCAGTTAGGTCATGCTTCTAGTCCTGCATTTTTCTAGTTAATTGGAGAGAAGAGTTTCTCAGACTTTTCTGATTAGATTGGCTTTGGCCCAGGATCTTTGGGTCTCAGCCCCCTTAGACGTTAATTACAGGTGTTAGCCACCAAATGCATGGCTTCTACTTCTGTATTCTTACTGTCCATGCCTAGATCCAGTCTTACCAGTGCTACTAAATATCTTTCAGCATCCATGTTTCAGGCTTCAAGTTAGTGGTGTGGCTCAAGTGATAGGGCACTTGCCTAAGGGTCTGAGTTCAAATCTTAGTATTGCCAAGAACAGCAACCATGCTTCAAGCTTCATATTTCTTGATGTTATACAACAACATATTAATTCCCTGTCTTGAAACATAACACCACATCACCCAATACAATAAGCCCTTTATAATTTTCAGAACATCCATCCTTTTCAATCTCCTTAGATGTTCCTTTTATTTGCAATGGCCCTTCATCAGCGCCTCTGCTGGAGCAGCCCTCTACATCCTTTTAAAGTGTCATTGATTCTCTCTCAAAGTATTTCTCCCAGAGTAACTAGGTTTTGTTTCTGATTAGCAATACATTTGTGTACCTGGCAACAATTTGACCTGAGGCTTCTATTGTAATATTCATTTGAAAGTCAGTTTGTAGAGGTGACAACCTTACTTTTAATGTGACCTTTATTGACCAAATTAGGTCAGGTGGAAATACTGAATTTCCTGCCCTATTAAAGCACAGATGTTTTTACAGGTTGCATCGGCTTTAATTTTAGGGGAAACGTGATTATCTGAGGATGTGACAGATTGTATATGTATACTAATCACAGTGTACTAATTGGCATGAAGCCACATCTTTTTTCTGATTTTCCCTATGAGGTTACACAGGTCTAACCCACCTAGGGTTTAGGAATATGGGTTGATGAGACAGGCTGGTTAATTCACAATGATAAGGAAAATTTACATAAGATTCATGAATATCAAAATGAATCCATGGATTCTGATATCACTCAGCATGGAATCATCACTTCTATACCCTTGAATGCCCTTTCATTTCATTCTGCGTATTATTGAAGGACACATTTTAATTTGCCAACAATAATGGATGTGGAATTGGCATTCCTCTCTCTAGAGGTGCTATTTGTAAGAGAGCAGTGTCGGTAGAGTGGGGTAGTGTGCCGATGACCTACAACCACCCCATGGGAGATGGAGGCCTTCACTTTCATGTCCTTAATTGCAATCCACCAGCCCATCTTCAAGAGGCCTCTTTGAATGCTGAGAATAAAAGGCCACATAGTCCGTCACTTCTCACACAGCTGGCTGCTTCCTCTTCTGATTCTGGGCAGTGTCCTGGAAATCTGTTGAGAGGTCCCATAGGCCTCTCAAAACCAGTGGTCCAGGGCTGAGCACATCATTCCTCACCTTCTGACTCTCTCTTCTTCCTTTGCTTCCCATTTCACTCACTGACACCACCATCTGCCCAGATGTACATGCCAGAATCTTGGGGTTTTCTTCAACCATCCCTACTTCTCATAAATTCCATCCAACCAACCTCAGGTTCTGTTGATTCTAACTCCAAAATAATTCTTGCCATATGGCTTGTCTACCTCAGTGTTCTCCGTAGCTAAAGCATCAGCCTAGTTACTGTTATTGTCATACCTGGATAGCCTAATAATATCTGATCATGTACCTTCTTGTATATTTTTTTCTTTTTCTCTTCCCATTCAAACATATCTATAGCAAAGATGTACCATAAACGGGAAAAGCAGAGTCTAAAGAATTTCAAAACTTAAGCTGTAGAGTTATTTCCTAGCCCATGAAATGGGGGACGGGGCTGGAAGGGGGAGGGATAAGTCTGTAGAGTTCTGCTAGCTAGCAATCCTCTAGGGCTGGGAACCCATTCTTGTGGCAGTGGCTTATTACAGCTCAGTATTGATAGGGAATGTTCTGTGTCTTTCCTGGAATATGAGGGTGATGGCAGAGATTATCAGGCTTGTTGGTAGAAATGTCTCACTCATCTCTCTGCCCTCAGACTTAGGGTTGTCTGTCAGCCATTCATTCAGCTCATTATTTCTTCCAGGTCATTCCATCCCTCTCCTATCATAATTATCCTACCTCTGTTTGGCTGTGTAGACATGAAGTGATGATGAAAGTACATCCCAGGGCCCATTTTCATGGATTTTTGTTTTGTGCACATTGCTTTAAGGGAAAGACACTGAGATAAGAGAACACACATTCTTGATTTGGCTCTCAAATCTTTATCAGAAGATTGTGAAGTGGATAATGGAAGAGATCATTTTCTAGGTAAGAAATAATAGCAGATGAGACTTTATACCAAAATACAATCTCTCATCCCTTTTTAAAATATCCACAATATTGGTGGAAATAGAGAAGGTGAGAGAAGATGCATGAATGAAATAAGCTGCCTATTCTCAGCCTACTGGAAGTTCCCAGGAAGGCAACATGGCTGCAGCATAAGATTGTTGCAGATTATGTCCAGGGAGAAGGTACCTGTAGAAGACACCTGAGCCCCAAGTGATCTTGACAAGAGGTTGGTGAACATAATTGCACAAGGTATGAATGGCAGAAAACTCTCAGAGAGATTTCCATTATGCTGCTAAGGGAATCAATGTGTCTTCATGGAACTGTGGGAGATAGGGTTGGGACAGAACGGGCAACTATAGGGATTTTCCTGGCTCTCCCAAGTCTAGTAATTGAGCCCATGCTGTCAGCATACAGGTGGAGTTGGTGCAGCTACAGGCTTTGCCTTAAGTCCCAGCTTTTCCAACTGTCTCTCCTCTGATGTGTAATCCCCAGGGAGGTGTGGATTCTTCCGTTAAAATCACTGCTGAAATGAGTCACTATTACTGGTGGGAAGGTGTGAATTTCGCCTGTGTGTCAGAAAAAACAAGTATGCAGCTGTTACTATTATGTTTGTAAAGAATTGAGAATAATCTGATTAAATTTTACAACCATTTCAGAGTCAACATGGCTCTTTATTCTCTCTAATGGGGCTGAGTTATATTGACTTTGCTGTGAGAGAGCCCAAGTATTTACTTCAGTTAGTGTGTGTCAAATTATGAAAATACTGAATAAAAACAAAACTCAAGTCATTCTATGCTTTGTGACCTGAATCGTTTACTGACTACGCCCCAACAACTCTTCAATGTATGCATCTGACTTAAATACTGCATTATGAAAACACAATGATCGGTAACTTATAGCAGGTATAATATTACCCCCAAAGTGTGAAATTAATTATTTAGCAATACTCTTCATTATTAAGTGCCCCTTGCTTATCAACTACTTGTTTATATATGGTATTTGTATGTGTATGTCTACATACAATCTATAGTATATAACAATCATTTTTAGATATATTTTGCTTTTGAATTCATGAGAAAACTGAGAGCATACACAAAATTATAAAGTAAATATGTGTGTGCAATGGTAAACATTTCCTTCCCAGCCACTTCCTTTCATTGTGGACCCAAATACTATGAAACCTCTCCTCTGTCTAAAGTCCTCATGTTAGCAAGACATATGAAGGCATCATAAATGAGAAGCAGGGTGGCTTGCCAGGGTCAGCCTGATGACAGGGAGATCCTGAGCCCCAGTGATTGTGCATAGTGTCCACTGTTGAGTATAGCTATAGATAAGGAGCTGTTTTGTGTAGAAGCTTACTATACATAGTATATGTCTATATAGGTGTCTGTCTCTGTCTATCTCTGTCTCTATCTTTCTCTCTCCATCTATTTTCCTTTCTAGGAGTAAATAGGGATAGTTCTGTACAGAAGAAATTCAGTTTCACCAATTCTTTTTTTTTTTTTTTTAAAGAAAGGAGCCAAGTCAAGATCTTCTCAATAATTTGAATGAGATGTGGAAGTGTGGAGCCACGCATTACCAGGAAACATGTGACTAACGTGAAAACCAGCAGGGTTTTTGGAGATTGTGAACGCTACATAATGGCATTTGAAGACTCAAATCTGGTATTTGGAAGAAGCACAATTTAAGCAAAATTAGTCATGCAACTGCGCACCCATTTTTGCTAATGATATCCTGAAGAATGCAAAGTAAACTTATTTTGCCTACTTATTTGACTGAGAAATGAAGATATTAGCAGGGAATTGAGGCCCAA